TGGGAGAAATTTGATCCCGACGCAACCCAGTTCATGGAATTTGAAAAACTTTCTCAGTTTGCAGCTGCTCTTGACCCCCCTCTCAACTTGCCACAGCCAAACAAACTACAGCTCATTGCCATGGACTTACCCATGGTCAGTGGCGATCGAATCCACTGTCTTGACATCTTATTTGCTTTTACAAAGCGAGTTCTAGGGGAGAGTGGAGAGATGGATGCTCTCCGAATACAGATGGAAGAGCGATTCATGGCTTCCAATCCTTCCAAGGTCTCCTATCAGCCAATTACCACTACTTTAAAACGAAAACAAGAGGAAGTATCTGCTGTTATTATTCAGCGTGCTTACAGGCGCCACCTTTTGAAGCGAACTGTAAAACAAGCTTCATTTACTTACAATAAAAATAAAATCAAAGGTGGGGCTAATCTTCTTGTAAAAGAAGACATGATAATTGACAGAATAAATGAAAACTCTATTACAGAGAAAACTGATCTGACCATGTCCACAGCTGCTTGTCCACCCTCCTATGACCGGGTAACAAAGCCAATCATAGAAAAACACGAGCAAGAAGGCAAAGATGAAAAAGCCAAAGGGAAATAAAACAAAAGTAAATGAATGACAAATTGTTTGTAGTCTGCGAAGGTGGATGGATTTTTGTCAACAGGACTCCTTTAGGAGGTCAATGCCAAACTGACTGTTTTTACACAAATCTACTTAAGGTCAGTGCCTACCCTAAGACAGTGACCCCTTGTCAGCAAACTGTGGCTCTGTGTAAAGGGAAGATACCCTTGACAGGAGGGTACTGTTCTCACTACCAGCTGACACCACTGAAGACAAGAGACAAAATGGCTACTCAGACTGTAGGGACCATAAACGGGTGCAAACCTATAATCTGGGGGTTGTTTAACACGAAACACTTTAGTGTAGTAATTGTATCCACTCTTTGCATTTCAACTGCCACATTTGTCACATTTTTACAAAATCTGTTAGTGGATTCATCTTTTTTTTAATCCATATGTTGTTTATTACTTGTGACTATTTTTCTAAATGGGCTTTCTGTTGGGAACTAGACTAAAGGACCTCTTTAACAGGTACGCCCCCCTGGGGTTTCGGCAACCATGTGATCCTCCCATCTACACAAAGACATGGTTTGCATGAGGGCATGCTGCACTCAGAGATCATGCATGAGAAAAAGTCATCAGGAAACGATGAGTTCTTAAATTTCATCCATGTTTCTGGGAGGAGGAATTGGGTAATAATTGGAGATGCTTTGCTGATCTTGTTTTCTCAAATTCAGCCCCTAGACCAAGTAGATCGTGTTTATGTAGGTCATTAAATCTTAGCAGGTGCAAACTTCCTTCAAATGTCTAGAGTCATAAACGTTCTATTTCTGTTGATTATCCTAAAAGAAAAAAAACTGAAAATGAATATTGCCCACCCCCCAGAAGACTGAATTGAACCAAAAGAACCCTTTCTCAGTTTCTGCTTAATCCTGCCCTTGGTTTAGCAGTCTTCAGCTCTCAGTAAGGTTGACACTGTATGTGTTAATGAAATGCTATTTATTATGTAAATAGTCATTTTACCCTGTGGTGCACGTTTGGGCAAACAAATAATGACCTAAGCACAGTATTTATTGCATCAAATATGTACCACACAAATGTAGAGTGCAAGCTTTATACCGGTAATGTAATGTATTCTGTACCATTAGTTAGTAGTTTGGATGCTATCAGTGCATGCTTATATTACCATGCTGCTGTATGCGGTTTCTCCCACTGCTCAGAATCTCGTTTATGAGAAACCATATGCCAGTGGTAACGTCAAGGAAATTGTTCAACAGATCTCATTACTTTAAGTCATTAAGCAATAGTTTGCAGCACTTTAACAACTTTTTGGGTTATTTTGAAATTTTAAGTGGATAACATACGGTGTATAGCCGGATTGTACAGACATGTTTAAAAAAACAGAACAACACAACACTGCTTAACCTGTTAAAAATGTGTTTAGAATTTTATAATCAAATATAAATACTGTAAAAAGTCATTTTATTTTTCAGCATTATGTACATAAATAAGTAAAGGAAATTATCTTCAGGTTGATACCACAGTCACTTTTCTTACTTTCTGTCCATAGCACTTTTTCATGGAAGAAATTTGCTAAATAAGAAATGAAAATAAGACTGGGTAGTTGTAGATTTCTGCTTTTTTATTACATTTGCTAATTTTAGATTGTTTCGTAGTTTTAAGGGGCAAAATAGGTTCACGACTAACATCCAGATTATGCTTTGCAATTGGGGAAAGGTATAAAATATTATTTACATTTTTGGTAGTGCCTGCACTGACTAATTTAGGATAGTGCTTATTTGTCTTTCTTTCTTTCTTTCGTTTGTCCTTATTTTTTCTAACCTCTTTATGTTTTGTTTTGTTTTGACTCATGCTGATCTAGAATGTTCTAAATATAAGTGGGTTTCACATCTTTTTTTTTGACAAGAACAGAGAGTAGTGAACTTATATAATCAACTACATCAGGATATTTTGTGTTTCTTACAGAAGCAAACCATAGGCTCCTCTTTTTCAGAAAATTACTTAAACTGTATTCGTGAACTGCATGCTGGAAAATGCTACTATTACCCTAAACAATGCTAACCAACATTAAAAAAGTGCAAAACTAATAAAGATTACATTTTTTATTTTATTGTTTGTCCAGTTACTTTTTTTTGACAGTGTTTTACAACAACAGGAAGATATTTTTACTCTACAAATTGTTGGAGAAGGGAAGCTAAACACACACACACATACATGGGCCTAACTGGGCTGACAACAAGAAAACCTGGGGTAGGAATGAGACTGGGGAGAAGGACCTGCCAGAGATACAAGCAGATGTAATCTCTGTAAGGAGCAGGAACTTTTAGAGGATGTCAGAGCATATGCTGGTGGCTCCAAACAGAAAGTATAGAAACCAGAGTAATGGTGGAGAGCCACCTGAGCCCATTAATCTTTATTTAAAAATATTAAAAATGGCCCAGTGGCTAAGAGATCAACTGCTAACCAAAAGGTTGGGAGTGCAAATCCACCAGCTGCTCCTTGGAACCCCTGTGGGGCAGTTCTACTCTGTCCTATAGGGGTCTCTGTGAGTCGGAATCGACTCAGCAGAAACGGGTTTGGCTTGTGGTATGTGAGTAAGAGATTTTATTTGCTCCTCCAGAACCACTCTTCATGGTTCTCTATCCTGCTCTATGCCTCAGTAGGGTGACCTTTAAGCATTGCATCAATGGTCTCCCTTGCTCTCTAGCTCCCTCTTGTTTTGGCCAATGGGAGGCACCGGCAGGAAAGCACCAGTAAGACAGGAGTAAAATTAAGGTATTTATTCCCCAGTTCCTTTCTTGCTTGGTTGCCCTGGGTTGGCAGTGGCTGCCTTCTTCAACTGAAATTCACACTTTTCAAGTTAGCCAGCCCCTTCCTACAACTAGAGCTACTTTCTCAGAGGTCTGGTAATCGCTCCTCCACTTGTTTTTTTAGGTCTGCTGCTGCACTCGGGATGTTTCTTTATTCCTTGGGGTTTTCCAACCTTGTTCACATGTTTATAAATAGCCCCTTCAAGAAAATCTTCCTTGTTGCATCATTTCAGTGTGCCATTTGTTTCCTGTCTGGCTGATACAAAGTGACTAGCCTATGAAAGTTGGCAAAAGGCAAAGATTTGCCTTGGGTCAGCTTGGAGGCCTAATCTTATTGGCTTTGGCAGATAAATAAGCAGTAACTGAGGGAGCCACAAAGAGATCAAGTGCAGAATTCACAGAGATTGTAAAAAGGTTGCTAGAGTAATCCAGATGGTAAAATTGACAGTCTGAATAAATTTATCTAAATATCTGAGGAAAGAGAAGCACTTGTTTGTCATCAGGGTTGCACAATTTCAGTCATGAAGACTGAATGGGGGGCATAGTGTATGGAGGGAAAAAGGAGCAGCTGGGAACAGTGCTTCTTTCATCCGTGTACAACCTACAGACCTCATCAATTCATAACATCAAGGCCCTGAAGCAACACAATAGTTAATTCCAATATATTAGTATATCAGAGTAAATAAATATTACAGGAGAAAGCCTTGTTGTTGTTGTTAGGTGCCACTGAGTCAGTTCTGACTCATGGCGACCGTATGTACAACAGAACGAAACATTGCCCAGACCTGCACCATTCTAACAATCATTGCTATGTTTGAGCCCATTGTTGCAGCTACGGAGGAGAAACACTACAGGCTTTATATACTAGCCATGGTCTTTTCAATTGCTTAATATGCATGTGAAAGCTGGACAATGAAAAAGACAAAAAAAGAATTGATGCACTTGAATTGTGGTATTGGAGAAAAATAATGAATACCATGGACTTCCAGAGGAATGAAAAAATCAGTCCTAGAAGAAACACAACCAAACTACTTCTGAGAAGGGAAAATAGCAAGACTTTGGCTCACTTATTTTGGACACATCATCAAAAAAGACCAATTGCTGGAAAAGAACATCATATTGGGTCAGCAAAAATGAGGGTAAACCTCAATGAGGTGGAGTTACACAATAGCCACAACAATGGACTCAAGCATGCCAATGATCATGAAGATGGCACATGACCAGGCAATGTTTCATTCTATTATACATTAGATTGCTAGGAGTCAGAGTTGACTCTATGGCAACCAACAAGAACATCCACACCAGTACTGACATGTACATTTTCAAACGCTAGGAGAAAAACTGGTGAAATATAATCATATAAATTACCTGTCTTAGTCATCTAGTGCTGCTATAACAGAAATACCATAAATGGATGGCTTTAACAAGGAGAAGTTTATTCTCTCACAGTCTAGTAAGCTGAAAGTCTAAATGCAGGGTGTCAGCTCCAGGGGAAGGCTTTCTCTCTCACTCTTCCCTTGGTCTGGGAGCATCTCAGCACAGGAACCTCAGGTCCAAAGGATGTGCTCCGCTCTTAGCACTGAGTTCTTGGTGGTATGAGGTCCTCAGCTCTCTACTTGCTTCCCTTTCTTTTCTTTCTTGTAAGATAAAAGGTGGTGCAGGCCACACCCCAGGGAAACTCCTTTACATTGGTTCAGGGATATGACCATAGTAAGGGTGTTACAATCCCACCCTAATCCTCTTTAACCTAAAATTACAATCACAAAATGGAGGACAACCACACAATACTGGGAATCATAGCCCAGCCAAATTGATACATTTTTGGGGGGACATAATTAAATCCATGACATTACTGTATACATTTTTATGTCATTTTGCATAATATTTGTTGGGTACAAAAGAATGCTTGAAGAACACTGAAGTCTTGTCAACAAGACACAGGAGTCAACTGGCCAAATCTGGAACAATTTGAGCATTAAAATAAGTAATGAGGAGCTACCATGGCCTCCACC